TTTGCAGATGATGCGTGAGCTCACATTTGTGCTGCATGTGGAAACTTGGCAAGTAGTTTTTTTTCTTTCCTAATTGTTGTGAAAGGTTCCACGCAGTTTAATCTGCAGAGTAAATATTATGAACATAAGCTGAATTAAAAAACCAGTAAGACTTGGCGAAATCATGTAAAAATGGTTGTTGATCAGAGAGTCAGTCCTAAGAAGAGTCTGACAAGCAGCATCTAAATCTGGCCACAGATTTAAAGCAAAACCTTTGTGATTTTGCCCTTGGTGTGTTATGTTGATGGCTGTGGGCTGGTCTGGATTAAAATGAAAACAATATGTGATGGTGATTGGAATACTTGGAATATTTGTGTGATATACGTAATGTTTGGGTGTGACTGTTGTTAACAGTATACCCATAAGTCAGACTTCCAGCAAAACTTACAATTACTTCTCCCGGAAAGTTGAATGAGCACGCATGATGGTTTCCGGTTTCCTTTACATTCACAGACGAACCGCAAAGACACTTGGCACTAATGCATACAGATGTGGCTTTTCTGTAGGTGGTGTAAATAACTTGTCTAGGCAAAATGAACACAGGGCTGGACTTAAAGATGTTTTGTTGCTCATCCAAGAGGCTTTTTTAGTTCTGCTGACTAGTGGAGAGGCCCAGGTATTTAAATCTCATGGAATTGTTTACATCATGTTACATGCGTCTGTGTCGATGTTACGACCAGTTTTTTAAGCTGAGGAAGACTCTGAGGCTTCAAACACACAGACGCGTAGTCGGAAATTCTCTCCAAAATCTGCTGCCGTTTCCTGAGAAGAATACTTGTCGGAGCCTGTGATTTTGTGGCATGTGTCTTCTTGTTTGTCCGTGTGCACCAGGATATTTGCAAATTACTGTATACTGAAACAAAGGCCTCCTTCAAAGCTCCAACCGTTGAAGGCCAAAGTCTAATCTTGAAATGCTTGTTACAATAATATAAAGTTTTAGCACCTGCAGTTTCTTTCAGAAACATTTCATGCTAAAATAGCAGCCTTCAGCTTTATAGTGAAATACTGTTATAACAAGTGTCTGTTGAATTAGAGGGCAGAGGGGAGTTCAAGGAGGGACAAGAAACTTTCAGCAAAGTAGCTCCTGTTCCTCAAACCACCTACATAACATACCAAAATGGATGATGCCACTTTCCAGTAGTTTTAGTTCAAATTGTAAGAATAATACAGTAATAATAATAATAATAATAATAGCCTGTTAATGATGATAAAAAGACAAGCGCTAATCCAGTGCGGTTGTGAGGCCTCTCAGGACTTTACACTTTCATGTAACCATGATGTATAAAAACCATCAGAACATTATAACACATAAACACCTTTTGATTATTAATTATCTGCTGGTTTGCTTTTAAAATCCTACTGAAATTATCACCTTTAATGCGCTAACACAGGTGTTTTCACTTATTTCCTGATAAGACCTCTTCTCGGGACTGTGATGGTGTGTGCAGACTGTGCTCGGTGACCTCATCCTCACTCCCCTCCGTGTTTTGTTGCATCTGTTATAGTGCGAACTTGAACGATATCTGTTGTTTTCTTCTGATGTTAAAGCTACATATCGGTCAGACTAGTATTTTTAGACGTCACACCATCCACGTTCTGCTTTCACTTTCTGTGTTCAGTTTGAATCTGCTGCCGCATTCGATGGCAGCTGTGCTGGGGCACGATACATACTGTAGAATAGTTGGTGGAGTATTCTATAGGCTGTGTTCGTGTAAGAGATTTTATGTTGGGGAATGAGTTTCTGTGACAAACCTATAATTTGTCATGGGCTAAATGTGGATGGTTATCCAAAACAAGCTTACTCCCTCCTTCCCTCTCTGGTTATTCCTCCTTTTCATCTGCCTTTGGTCTTGCTGTGAGTCAGGTGGTGTTGTGGCTCTTAATGCCAAACAGATTCAGTTTCTATTCGTTCCAAAAGTTTCTGAACGGACGGTCTATTCCTGGACAGAGTTTTCTCCCCTCGCCTTTCATCTGTCAACATCTTGTGTTGGCTTGAGACCTTGCAGTACATACTCTCCACAAGCAATTTTTATCTGTCATTTATTCAGAACGTTTTTCTCGGTATCATCAGTTTTATTTCATAAAAACAACGATGAAAGCTTTTACACTACCTATACCTATATAAAAAATATATATAATATAATCCTGCAAATTCCCAATAATGAATAGGGTTTGGCCCCTTTTTGTTTATTTTCTTCTTTAATCTGTTTACATGAATTGTTTGTAGTAAAATAGGTTGTAAGAGATTGATCATAGCATTCATATTATTATTTTTTTTTAATTATTATTATTAAAACCTAAATGATACTGGATCTATAAGGCCAATAATAGAATAGGTTATAAAATCTCGCAGGTTAAACATTTTGGTATAGATCCCTTCTGATCTGACTGAAGTGGACATTTTACAGTTGAATAATAAACTTTTTAACAGTGATCTGTGTTGGACAAACTATGTAATGGTGACAGATTTTAACAGAACTTGTAGATAATTGGCAATAGAAAGTGTGAATGTTTGTTTCCATCTGAAGCTTCGGCGTTAAAGTCACATGCTTTATGTATGTCTTGATTTATTTGCTAAGTCTGTTTACTTTATACTTTTTATTTATTTTTATTGAAACAGTTTTCAGTTTTCTACTTTTTTTTTTTCCGAATGTTTGGCTTTTCCATTCAGAGATTTCTTAAACACATTTCTAAACAACCTTAAACATCTTTGATATTTCTGTACTTCTTATTTACTGTAATATAGACAGTGGCATGTCATATGCTGTGAGGAAAACAGAATTAATCTCAGTGAGATTCAGAGGAAATTTAAACATGAGTGAGAGGAGGAAATATTTCACTGGAATATTTCTAGAATGCTTCCGGGTACCTGAACAGTATTTCTGTCCAGAGGCCCTTAGATATTTCAGGCATAGTGACTTCTTGGTGTCGTATGAGGGGAGGGGAGGAGGTTTCCCCTCTTTCCAACACACATGCCTGCCTGGGGCCATATTACGATGCACTGAAATCTTTTCTCATTTCATATACCTACAGACCTTTTACTGAGAAGTTTCTCTGGTTTCCAAGATGTGATTTTTTCTAATTTTAGCTATTAGTTTTGTTTTTGTTTGACATAAGGCGAATCTGATAAAAACAGATAAAGAAAACAAACAACTTTTTCACTTCCAGAAAATTACAAAATACGTTAGATGTAAGAACCATTTCCTAATCACTGTACTTGTGTTAATTGTGTTACCCACTCGGACCTGAAGCCTACTTGAGACTACTGTCAGAATAGAGCACATGTAGGTGAAAAAGACATTGCTGCTTTTAGTTTCCTTTTTAAGTGTATAAAGCAGTATATTTTGTGGTTCAAGAGGAATTCACAGAGAGTGAGTTGTCTTTATTGCAATATTCAGTCACACATTTGTACATGGACCTCTGAGCTTTAGCTAAGAGATACTGGATGAAGTTCAGATGAAGGTATTTATACATATTCTGACTTTGGCACGTGCCCTTACACACAGTACACAGTGTCTTGTCTGTAGAGTCACAACCTCATGTCTGAAGTCTATTTCTGCCTCTGTCTGCTGGGCATCAAGACTTGCTGATAACATTGACTGTGAAGCTGAAGGCTGGATTCCAGAGGAAGCAAAGAAAAGATAAAGTATTAAACAGTATTCTGTCTCACAACAGATAGCGCTCACTTTGTGATTGTGTTTTTTAAATGACGTGCTTATTCCACATATTTGTCGGTTGTGTCTAAACCGAGTGACAGAGAGGAGCCCCTCCCCGCTGATCATCACGCAAGGCGATGGTCCCTTTTTAACAGCACTGTTGCCCAAGAAGCGACGGCCACTAATCCAGGAAAATGTAAAAACACTTAATTTATGAGGTTATAATAAAGATAAGCTGCTACGTTATGTGTGATTAGAAAAGAGCAGAGAAGCAGAACTGCTTGTTGACCAGTGCAGAGGAAAGAGCTTCTGGTGTGAATAGCCAGGCTACCCTTCACAACGCTTCTGCCTCTGGTGTGTCTCCTTCTCCGCTGTGTCTCACCGGTTTATATTTTCAACAGTAAGCACATAAGATAAGATTTTATCCCAAACCTGGGGAAATTCTTGTCAAGTATCATCAACATGAGGATGATTCCCAATAAGGCACTGAATACATATTTATCTACATTTTAGTTAGTGTTTGTAATATGTCTGTTCAGAACATGGTGCTTTATGTTTATACTTGTCCTTTTTGTGCTGGTTTATAGTTTTAACCATTAGTGAGCGGGCTGTTACATTTCTTGTACCAGCTGCATTTTGTTTGCAGTTTTCCCTCCCACACTTGTGAATAAGAATCCAGCGCCCTTGACTGACACCACTCATGTTGACTATAAGTGATGCTTTGTTGCACATTTATCACCACTGTTTAGGAAACACTGTCAGCTCGTCATGCTGCTGAATAGGCTGCATCATTAAAACATCAATTATAGATATTGGCTGTTGTACCTGCCTTCATTTGGGACAGAGTCAGACTTATTTGAACAAACCACATCCCTGTATAATATTTGTATAACGGCCATTATTTGACTAAGTAGGCTTTTATTTAAATATGTGTGGTAATTTTTTTTTGATTCTTCGGAAACAGACGGACCAACATCAGACCAAATAAAGGCTCACACTCGTTCTTTCCGTCTGGTTCATCATCCAATCACAAGCTGCCACAGCAGGTATCACCAGTGTAGTTTTGCATGGGAAATGTGTCACTCGGACAGTGGAAGTCAAAACATACACTAGGCAAACAAAAACATTGTCTGTCTTTAAAGAGATGAGTTTAAACCTATTGGCTGAAAAACTGGCATATAAAAGGGATGTTTATCTTTCCGTGTTATAACCTGTGTCTCATCCCTTACAGCAAAACACTAATGCAATGAATAAAATATGTATATTTATATATGGTAGATTATCTGTGTGTGTGTGTCTCTCTAGATGGGCCCGGTGAGGAGGAGATGGAGGTTCAAGATGAAGCTCCTAGCCCAACAGACAGAAGAAAAGACCAAAGCCCATCACAGGTATACTGGACGATTGCTATACTAAATAAACTAAACTAACCTTGTACTCAATTATAGAAATATTATATTGGACTTGTCTGTATAAAAACAGTAGATTACTAGTAAAACACACGTTAAATGTACTTGTTGGTTACTGTAAAAACAGATCACAGTTAAATTATCTACGGGCAAATACTTGCATACATTTCACAATGAACCAGTGCTTAAGTGCTTTGAGGTGCAGTAACGCTAATGTCCACTAGATGCTGTCGTCAGGGAGATCCTTTCAAAAGGGGCCAACTTTTCTCAAGACATACAAAGTATTTTTCTCTCAAAAGCTATTTTCTCTCAGAATTATTGCTGTATTTAAACTACAGAAATCAATCAGAAAGATCAGTTAAGAAGTGACTCCAAGCTCTTCTGAAAGTAAATGTGCATCTGTCAGTTACCTTTGTAACTAGCTCTGTGTGTGTGTGTGTGTGTGTATCAGGCGATGCTGAACAGTGAGGAGGGTTTGGATGATGAGGAGAGAGCAAGAAGGAGAGCAGAGAGGAGGAGAGCAAAAAGGAAAGTGAGTAAAAATAATTCAGTCTCACTGCCGTGAAAATATACTTCAAGGCTCATGAGCTGCAACTACCAACTGTAATACAATATCTTACAGGTACAGCATCAGTGGAAGTGGATATGTACCAAAGTCAATTTCTAGCTGAAGTGTACAGCTATGTTGTCTAAAAAGAGGGATATCTGACGTAAGAATGTGATAAACCCTCTTGTCTTTGTCTGGTGATTTGTGTCTTTTATACTTACTAGAAATGTGTGTAACAGTTTAGTTAAATGACATGCAGTGACCGTATGTCATCATCATCATCGTCATCGCCACTATTGTCATCTTCTATTGTAACATGCTCAACATCCACATGTCACAAAGATAAACATGGTGTCCATGTTGCAGCTCATGTCTTTATGAATGCTCTACTAACGCAATTGAATGTGTCTCCTACATTCCTCACATCACCACACCCTTATTTCCTCCTGTCGCCTCATCTGTGTTTACATCTTTTTAGCGGTTGTTAACATTTTACCACACCCTCCTCATAACTGTTCCCACACTTGACACACCTGACTGCACATCTGCTTCTACATCTGTGTCCATTCCTGTCTCTGTGCCATCCCACAGCCACCATGTCCATGCTCTCCTTTCAGAGGCAGAAAGAACGGAAGAAACTGGAGAGAGAGGAGAGGATGGAGGATGCTTCAGAGCAGGTGACACCATAAAAGGCTCGATGTACAAAGCTGTGCTGAGTTTGTGTGTTTCCATATGTCATCATCACCATATGTCAAGTATTGGAAAATGCTTGAAAACATCTGTTTTCAAGGTTAGGAATGTGTTGGAATTTGAATATTTAAATACACTCCTTAAAAAACTCTTGATGTTCAAGATAATCTGGTGTTTCAGGGATTTGATTTTTCACGCATATTCCGTATTTTACGTCCTGAAAATGTGACCCACGTGAATTTTCCAGATCGTAAAAAAAACCTTTGATGTTCTCGATAGCTTGTCTGTCCTCTCCTCTGCGTGTTTGATGGAGGGTGGGGCTCAGCTCCTACACACACAGCAGACAGCAGAGCAAAGAGGCCGTTGTTGACACATTGAACTCGAGGTAACCGTTGGGTGTGGATGTCATAAAACAAATAGTCAAATGGCATTTGTTTGATGTTGGGCACACACTCAAACCAAAAGTCAGCTTGTAAACATCTTAAGGGTCCTGAAAGGGCTAGTTGAATGTCAGTAGGTCTTATTAACTGGTATTTGGAAAAAGAAAAGTGCTTGAGTGAGAAAACACCTGTGAATGAGACACAAGGCTCATGGCCGTCACGGTCCAATGCCGAAGCAAATCATGTCAGTGTACACTGCAGGAGGGCGTCTGCGCCTACATAGATGTACAAACAAACGTGTCCAACCACTATTTTAAGCCCTGTTCGGCAATGCTTTCCTAAAAGCTGACCCAACCCTGAGACCTCGATGTGCATGGGTTTTAATGTCTGCTCAGTTAAGTTATGATGTTTCAATTAAAATTGTTGCACCGATTCCAAGCAATTTTCTGAAATTTGATATGACTATATCCAAACAATCTTACTCATCCAACAGGTGTTTGGACTTATGAAATATGACAAAAATAAATAACAATTAAGTTCACTTTTACTCACTAATATTTTAGATGCTGTGCTCAATGTTTCATTTTGAATACACAATTCTGCTTTTGCCCTTACGTTACATAACACTGTGTGTGACTTCTTCTGGGTATGTTTTTAATAAGGCTTTTAACTTTTAACAGGACGAAGGAGTGTCTGGAGTGTTGTCAGAGAGTGACAGTGAGGAGGAACTGAAAGAAAATGAGGAATGGATCGCTGTTCGACCCAGAAATAAATGCAACCCTGAATCACTCCCTGCCCTTGTGACTGAGTATGAGAGCAACCACCAGCTGTCCCACAGGACCTCGGAAGAGGTGGGTTGAAACTGGGGCGGTAAACTTAATATATCATTCATTCTTCTAATTAAATAAATTAATCGTCCCTAGTGATCAAGTGTTTTGGCAATTGAAGCAACAGCGTGACACAATAGTTTGGCAGTCCTGCAAAGTGTTATTGAACAGCCACGAATTAGTGAGACAGCGAATCCTTCTCTGCTCGCTGACTGTAAAGTTGGATGTGTACTCCTACTACTAATAAAATGTAATTGCTTTAAAATTTACTTATGGCAAGAGGGCAAAGTTAAACAGGTAAAACAAATAGCTCCCAAGAGAGTCGAATGGCACTTGCTAAATGTTGGGCATAAGTCTCAAGGGTCCTCATGGGGCTAGTTGAATGTCAATAGGTCTTAATAACTGAGAATTGAAAATTATAAATACTTAAATGAAGAAACACTCGTAAATAAGACACAATGCTATTTAGTGAAAAACATTTTGGTGCCGACTCCATGATCCAAGGCAGGAGCAAATCATGTTTCTGTGCACTGCAGTAGGGCGTCTGAGCCTGCATAGACGTACAAACAAACATGTGTTTAACCACCTTTTAAGCCCTGTTCAGCAATGATCTTGACTTCCCAATAGCTCCAGGTTGGTGCATCCTAGGGTTCAGAGTTGTGTTGAGTGCTTGGACCCCAGTATGCTTGTGATGCAAGTCTAGTTTTCCTTTGTCTGGTCCAGAGTGGATATGTTCAGTTTGAATTTTTGTATGTTTACGTTCACACTGCCAAGTAATAAGCAGACTTTTCAGGCTTTTAAACAAATATCACATGGCCGTGCAAGTTTTGTAATACCTATAGGGTTAAATGTCACCCAGTTCCAGTACTTGTAACTTCAACTAAACATTAGTAGACTTGTCTGTACTCTTTGCTGCAATTCACTGTCTTGTGTTCATACATGAATGAAGGTGAATGAAGCAAACCTCATTTTCCTTGGAAGAGGACCAAGACCTCTATTTTAAGGTATCTTGGTGCAGTAACTTTGTAGCAGCTGCATCTGATTGGCTCCCCTGCTAAAACTAACCAAACTAGACGTGTTAACACTGCAGAGTTTCAATAAACTGTTCCATGCTTGGTATAAACACAACCTTACTTAACGCTGTGGAAAAGAGCACTGTAAAGCAGCAAGTATATGTTAGTACAGCTTTCAGTCTCCTTTTGGAAATTGATTTACTTGATTAACATTCAAATCAGCATTTGATCAGAAAAGGTCTTTCTTTTTTAAAACGATGTCAGCCTAGTGATTGTTCTGTGTGACTTCGTGGTGTTTCAGGAGCCAGAGTGGGATGTCAGCAGTGCATTTGTGGCCAAAGCTGCCAGCCACATCAAACTCAAAACCCTGAAGAACAGAGCAACGCAGGTCTCCAGAGAGAACAAGGAGAACGAGACCAGAAGCAGCCAGGTACACACACACACACACACACACACTCCAAGAACAATGAAAATGTAATTCTGTGACCCATTTTGTTGATTTGTCTGATGACAGATTAGTTATTTTGCTGAAGATGTGGAAACCAGTGAAATTAGCTAAACTATAATAACACAACTGTAATCGCAGGTGGAGAGCACTGAAGAAATGAAGAGGAGGGGGGAGTCTCTTACAGGTGAATCATCTATATTATGCCTTTTAATAACTGTAGTACACATATATCATTGTGTTGTTTGAGTAAATTCAGTCCATTAGATCCCAAATTTCATTCATTCTCTTTTTTTCTTATGCTAATTTAATCCTCTAATAATAATTAGTAGAATTAACTGAATTACCAATAGTATAAATGCAGTAGCTAGACATTTGATTTGATATGCTGTGCTGTTTCTAACATAGTATGAAGTATGAGAGGTAGAAAATAGTTTATAAAACTCTGACTTGGATAAAACACTATATATATATAACTTAGTGGTTCTTTTTCTCACATGAAAACAGGTTTATATGACAGATACTGAGATGTGTATCTCTGTGGTTAAAAGCTGTGAAAGATTATATCTGAAAGATAATAGTGTTTCCATTCAGTCCTGGTTAGTAAAAATTTAGCTGATTTTATTAGGAACACTTCCTCGACAGAAAGGCATACTGTATGTGTGTGTATATTCTCTAGTGCAGGGCATTCAGATGTTCGGGCAAGGCCAGTACAGCCAGGCAGTGGACATGTTCACAGAAGCCATCTACTGTGACCCCAATGACCACAGGTGAGCTGAAATGTGAACTTTGACCCCAACTCAACTACACTAACCCTGTTCCTGATCGTACCACCTCATTTCCCCCTGTCTCCCTCACATTCACCTTGGTTTAAATAAATGTCTTCATCTTGCCTCTCAGGTTCTACGGGAATAGGTCTTATTGTTATTGGTGTCTGGAGCAGTACTCCTCTGCCCTCAGAGATGCTCAGAGGTCCATTCAGCTGGCTCCTGATTGGCCAAAGGGATACTTCCGTAAGGGGTGTGCTCTCATGGGGTTAAAGGTCAGTAGCTAATGTACAGCAGACTAATTCACATACAAAAAAAGTAATAATTTCCATTCTGTGATTTAATATGGTGCGTGTGTGTGTGTGTGTGTGTGTGTGTCCATTCCAGCGGTACAGTGAGGCAGAGAAGGCCATTGAGCAGGTGTTAAAGTTGGATCAGCACTGTAAGGAAGCATCCAGTAAACTTTTTACTTGCCGGGTCCTGCAGCTCATGGTGAGGAGGACGAGTGACTAGAAGGCTCGACTTCTTCTGAGGCAAAGTTTACGTATTCAAGTTAACTGCGGCCTGCACACAAAACCAGGAGCTAGACTTAAGTCCAAGACGTTTAAAGATATCACTGTGAAACTGATTTAAAAGCATCATCTCAACATTATAAACAAAAATGAACTGCAACAAAAGAAGACAGACGAGCATGTGGTTAGCTGCTGTTAATAGTTAGAGCTGGACCAGTCTGGAAGTACAGGACAGGTTATGTAGTAGCTTTGATGACCAGTGACCATGACTACTAGTGCTTGGTGTGTTGGAGTGGACTTGATATCTTTTTCATGCATGTTTTCATTCAACCAGTTGGAGCTGAGTGTTGTCCTAATCCTAATGTTGATTTAGTGTCTTGCTTCAGGGCATTTTGAAAATAGATGTATACATGTAGTGATGTACTAGACTTTTTTTCACTTTCATTTCTTTTACTTTAGGAGTTGGGTTTTGAGGAAGAGCAAAGTAAACTGCTGCTGGAGAAGTTCACCACCGTTCAGGCAGTCGTCACCTCACCCGAGGCCAAAAGTGAGAGCCAGCCGCAGTAACACTTCTGTCCACGTGGGGGCAGCACTGTCCTATCAGACATCCATAACAGCGACATGCTGCTCCTACTGTCACTACATAATGGCAGCAAGACACAAGTGTAAAGAATCATTACATGGAGAGTAAATTATAAAGTTAATATTATCGACAGCACACTACAGACTTTGCATTGAAGTTAGGACAGTATTAATGGGCAGAGAAAAATGTTGCTTGCATGGTCAGATATAATCAGTAGATTGCATATATAAGGACAGTCAGAATAGCAATCTGTAGTCTATATACTAGACATGCAGTACTATCCTTTGCACCATGATGAAGTTGTAGCAGGGGATAAGCTGTTTGCACCTCAAGATTATTTATATAATAAAGTTAATACAGTGTCTGTATAAGTGTGGCCCACCATCTCAGGGGAAATAACCCTGGGGTGGTGATCGACAAGTGGATAAGACACATGCCTTTGGTGTGAGAGACCCAGGTTCGAATCCACTGTGAGACACCAATGTGTCCCTGAAGACACTTAACTTTGAGTTGCTCCAGAGGCGTGCGACCTCCGACCCATATAACAATTGTAAGTTGCTTTGGATGAAAGCGTCAGCTAAATGAATAAATGTAAGTGTACCTGCCAGAGAACGATAATTTAAAGGAGACCACAGTTATTTTAAATACCTCCCATTGATGTTCTGTTTTTATTCTGTTGTCATTACATCGTTGACTTCTACCTCTTGTCTCCTCTTACTTCCAGCACTGAAGCACACATCTCCACAAGACCAGAGTGGGTAGGTTGTATGGCTATAAGCAATACACATAATCACACCAATCACTTCAAATTTTCAATACGGTATCATTTCAAACATGAAGCAAACCAATCTATATATATTTCCATAGACATATTTACAGCATTACAGTGTCTGCTGTGGGTAATACAAAATGATATTGTTAATCTTCACAAATATAAAAATGACTTTTGGTGGTGTGTCTAAAAGCATCTATTAAACAAATAGTTCAAGTTCAAGACCTTTATTTGTCCCTAAGGGGCGATTAGTTTTGCTGCAGTAGCAAAGAAGTTGACACACAGTACATAACAACAAAGACGATAACATCGATTAAAAATACAGGACCAATGGGTAAATGAATACCACAACATTAAAAGTTTAAGTTCAAGTGAGCCTTATGTGCAGACGTTACCTATTCTTTACAGAATTAAGCAGAGAGATAGCAGAAGGTACGAGAATTTATATCGATTTGTTTTGGCTGGTGGTTGACTGAAGCGGGAATCAGAAGGCAGCATCTTAAATTCTGCATGCAGGGGGTGAGAACTATCAGACATGATGGATTCTGCCTTTTTAAGCACATGTCTGTTGTACAGTTCAGTTAGTTTTATCTGCTGAATCCCAATGATTTTGCTTATAACTTTATTTACCATTGCTAATGTGTTTTTCCGTTTTAAACTAAGAAGCATACCAGCAAATACATGAAAAAGTAAAGACGGACTCAGTAAAAGATTTATAAAACAATGTCATCAGGGATCTGTCCACTTGAAACTTAGCTAGCTTTCTCAGACAGAAAAGACGTTGCTGACTTTTCTTACTCAGCATATCTGTGTTTAGTTCAAAGGTCAACTTGTTATCAATGATGATTCCCAGATAATTATATGACTCAACAATTTCAACCTCTTTAACATCTATAATCATCTTTTCAGGAGTTGGATGGTGACGTCTAAAATCAATGCACATGTCCTTTGTCTTTGTAACATTTAAGTCTAAAAAGGCTTCTTTTAAAAAATAGAGTAGTCCAGGGCCGTGAGATGTTTCAGTGGAGTCCATTAAACTTACTACGACTTTACGATATAGTTATTGGCAACTACGGCAGTTGTTAGTGTACATAATGTATAAAAGAGGAGAGACACAGCCTTGAGGGGAGCCGAATAATCAAACAATGAACAAATAATCTCTCTCACATTATCCACTCCTGTGATCTTTTACCTTACTTTGTCTCTTCCTGTTCACATCCGTCACTTGATTTCTTCTCTTATTTTTTTCCCTTTTCTATTTTCTAGGAGCTGCCGCTCTCTGTGGGTTGGGAACATTACATTGGAAGTTACAGAGAAAGACCTCTGGGATCTCTTTAAAATGTACAAACACATTGTGTTTATGTTCACTCATTATTAATAGTGAACACTGTCAAACACCCAAGTAAAAGTCAGTTTACCTTTTGGTTTAGGACATGGCATGTTATATCATCATTAGTGCAACTGCAGATTGATATAATGATAAGAACATTATTTTAAGACACCTGCATGAAGCATCGCAGGTAGGTAAACTGCACTAATAAAGACACACATGGTGGAGACTAGACTTGTGAAGATGGGACACGGCTGTGTTACAGTGTAATGAGAGTAAAAGTGGGAGTAGTAGTAGTTGTAGATACAGTAGGCTAGTTACAGAGATATAGGTATGAAGTAGTAGCAGCTTTGGCATAGTTACAGTAGTAGGTAAAGTAGTACTTGTAGCAGGATTAACTCTAGTGCTACTAGTTGTAATAGTATCACTACCAGCAGTAGTGGAAGAGTTGGTGTACTACTGTTACTGTTATTATTATAATAATTACACCATGAATTGTCAACACTTTGCCTGCAGATTGTACCGCACTGCTTTGCTGTAGTTTAGAGGCTCTGCGTTTCCATGGTTACAGGTTTGGTGAGATTGAGAGCATCAAAGTTCTTCACGAGCGTTTCTGTGCCTTTGTCAACTTCAAGAATGCCAACATGGCTGCCAAAGCCCTGGAGAAGCTGCAGGTGAGTAATAGGTAGGCTTAGTTTTCAGGGGAACAAACTCGACTTGATGTTTATCATCTCGGATGTTATTGTCTGAGTATGTTAACGTGCAGTTTTGTACAGCACAGTTGGTCAAACTTTAGACTTGTCTAAAGTTTGACCAACTGTGCTGTTTCATCCTGTCCAGGGGGTGGAGCTGGGGAGCAACAAGCTGGTGATGAGATACCCAGACCGCTGGATCCAGCGGACCGCGCCCCCCATGCAAAGGACCAACACTAACCTCAGCAACAACACTGCAGGAACACAGCAGAGCTTAGCTGTCATAGGGTACCGAGTAACTTACTGATAACATGTGTATCTGTGTGTTGTTGTGCCTTTTTTCTTTGCAAAAATTTCCCGCTCATGACATGTTTGAGTTGTTTTAGGGTTTAGAGATTAGCATTGGTTATCAATTAATGTTAGACATGTCAGTGTGTGACAGTGTAGGCTGTTAGGTGTGGATTTTGGGAATACATTCTCCACATTGATGATCCTGCCAAGATAGATATCCAAAGATGATAGTGCCATTACCAGACCACCATTTTTTTTCTTGCACAGTAAAAAAAAAAAAGGCAGCACAAAACAAAAGGACAACTTGTAAAACAAAAATACTGCTTTATTATAAAGGTTTAAAAACTGTTAATGATCCTAAAATTATTATGGTTTCTCCCTATTGTGCATTTGCAGTAGTGTAGTGTACTTTAGATTCAAAGTCAAGTGAAACTGTTCTCTTCTAGGAAATCTCATAATGCTGGTGATTCAAATTGAAAGAGAAAATCCCAGTTCCTTATTTCTTATTAGGGCTCATCCAGTTGGCCAACAACTTCCAGGTCCACTAAACAGGGATTTGAAAACACACCATAATCACAGTACAATCCTTTTTACACGCAAGTGAACACATGTGGCCCAGTGGAATTTTCTGTGAATATAATGCAGGATCTTCTTCTCCTCTGGTTCTGTCCACGCAGGTCCAGACGGTGTGTACCAATAGATGGAGATGTGTGCTTCTACTGGCAGACCACAGGCTGTTTCTATGGTGACAAGTGCCGCTTCAAACACATACCAGATCAACAAGGTCGAGACAAGAAACCATGAACACCCTAACTATATCCCCTACCCTCCCAAACCTAGCACCAAGGCACACCAAAGAAGGATTACTAAGAGAGGAGGAACAAGAAGGACAGTGAGCAGAGTGGAGGACAGAGAACGAGAAGATGGTCTGCCTGAGAAAACTGACAACTGAATGTGTGTGAGAAAAAGAAAGAGAGTCAGATGTGGTATTTATGTGATAGCCAAAGTCAGGGGTTGCAACTCTGACATGATGAGGACTTTGGCAACGTCCAGAGCCCACCCTCAGAGAGGCGCTTAAAGAATCAATTAATACGATACCACAAACCCTCTAATGCAAGAAGGTCTTCAAAGGAATTTAATTCATTTGAAATGTCACTGAAAACCCCCACAGAAGAACCCTTGAGATCCCTGCTCTGTTGGAAGTAAGTTATCAGTCATCAAAATGTTTTATCTGGACAAATACATTTGGTTGAACCATATTGGAAACACTACCAAAACCCAGTTCTGTGACAAACTCTTTCACACCACTGTAGAATTGCTTTAAAGACAAAATGTATTTTCATGAAACATTTGAAATGTATACTGTACATATTTGCACAAAACAATAAACCAATGAAACCCACATAAAATTTTTTTTGAGTTTATTCAGCACGGTTTATAAAAACCTGACTTGCACATCAAAACACATTTTTTGTTATGATTGCTGCAGTGAAGGGTGGGGAATAGTCACACATATTAACTAAAGTGAAGGCACTAAAGATCATATTATGTAGCACACTTACTTATCTAGGACATTTTGGTCAAAGTAGTAATTTTCCAGGACTTTCCCTCCAGGAAGATACTGCCAACAAGACTACAACCGTGCCAAAAGAGTAAGTGTCCAAATAAGGTATGGTATTTGGTTCAAGTCAAGATACTACGTTTACCTAAGTTATTCTGTGTGTCATTCAAGCCCCCTGCAACACTTTCTCCATAGAGGCAGTCTGTAATGAAACTAAATAAAGATAATGTCGTTCTGGGGTCACGTAACAAATGGATAGCCTTGCATCCTTTATCAAAACAGCTGCGTCAGTCAGTCGACTAAGAAGGCAGAGAGGAGGGACAGAGTCTGACCTGCTGTTGTAGAGAGTCACAGACTGTCGCCTTAGTTCAGCATTTGACCCTAACATGACCAGGGGATAGCTAGCTGTGTCACAGTATTCTTGGTATGTTTAATATAAGCACATGTTTGATCCTGTGCTAATGTTGAAATGCTAATGCTAGTCACACACATCTTTGTAAAAGACCAGTGATGAAGTTATATCTGCCCAGTAATACTTTAGCATTTCACTCTGTGTGGCTTTCTTGGATTTTTAGTTCATTTATAGCAGATTCTTTCCACAGAAGATACTGAATACTAAACATAGTAGCCTACTTGCTTTTTACACTTACTCATGGGGACCCTACTATCTTCCCACTGGCTCACAGATCTGGGATCTCCAGATGTAAAGTCTGCAGGTGGCAATCAGCAGCTGGATCAATCATTGCTGTTTTCCTGTCTGCTAGTCCTGTATGTTTGCATGTGGATTAGTTGAGTAGTTCAGTGTAAATGTGAACTTTAAGTCAGGAAAATCCATTTGAAGTTATGGGAAGATGTACGGGACATTGTATCTTCCCGCACCGCTTGTCTTTTTAGATAGTTTAACTCCAGACAGTCCTGTTTAGTACTGATGGCAGGATGATTTCAGATCAGCTGTGTCGTATTTAATTTAATCTAAACTGTCACAAAAGGTAGAGAAGAAGTGATTAAAACATAGTGCTTTTCTGTCCACGAAATGTCCTCAAGAGTTGTGAGGATGGGCAGTGCAGGTGCTTACAGGCCTCAAACATATTCTTAAATTTTGTTTTCCAATGATGTGAAGCGGACGTTTTGAGCAATCTGGTCTCTATTTTGTACAGCTGCCAGCCACAAGGATCACACACATTGTTTTTTTTTCACAACCACATCCTTTTCAAGCTAAAGTTGCCCATGCACGATCTACCTGCTGTTTTAACAAGCAGAGATGAGAGGAGCAGCTATGGGTTTAACAGCAGCAACAAGTGGATTTGATGTGTGACGAGATGCAATGTGCTGCAGACTTTACAGGACAACCTTAATTGACTGTACAGTAGCCTACAACTGGAAGTGCATTAATAATTCATATTAGGAATCTTGACAGCTTGCCACCAATTACAGTCAATGATCTTGGCAACTGTCTGGTGTTAGGCGCCGACACCAGTCTACAATTCAAAATTAAGTCTTTAAGCCTATGTCCAATTAACAAGTGGGTGGGTACAGGAACTTAAGATCTACAGGCCAAATGCAGACTATGCAAAGGTTAAGAGTTAAGACAACTAACTGAATGCTAAGGACACTTTGGCTAATCATGCATAATTATATCTATCTAGCTATAAGAAAACACATATTGTTAGCCTACCTTTATGTCTGAATGTATATTGCCATATTTCATGTTGTGAAGGTTCACTCTAATGTTCTGTGTTATTTCAGCAGTTCTCTTTTACAATTACAGTAAATAGCCAGCGGGTGGCGTTCTTACCCTTGTAGATGTATCCGAGTTACACAGAGTTGAAAGGGTTGAGACAACCTATGTAGTAGTGATAGTGTGCAGGTGACAGTTGTGAAAATAGGTGACCTGCTGCTGATGACGTCACATTCCCATTTCCTATCGTCATTTTAAAGGTCCAGTGTGTGATATTTCTTGGGAACCTTGTGACAGAAATACAATGTAAGATCCATAACTATGATTTCAGTGGTGTACAAGTACCTCACATAATGAAACGTTATGTTTTTATTACCCTTTTCAACAAATTGATTATGAAGCGACTGTTTCACACCCTCACAGAGCAGACAGTTGGTTTTAATTTGCAACCTCACCACTAGATGCCACTAAATCTTACACACTTAACCTTTAACTGTATTTATAGAAACAAAAGTAATCATAAATTTCTGGTATTTGGAAAAAAATGTCACATGTCTGATTGCTTTAAATGTTGCCATGTCTTTTTAATATTGGTGAACAATGTTTATTATATTTGAATGCTAAATTTAAGGTTAGCATGTTGTAATTTTACAAGCACTTATGGTTGCATTTGTATTAGTGATTTAGCATTGCTCAGCAGCACTTGAAGTAATGCCAACATAGCTTGACATTTCACTGCTTTTGTTTTTGCATGTGCATGCTGACATTACATTAGGATAACTCAGTGACACTTGACAGCAATACAACCTGATTGGACGTCATAACCAGCAAAAGACATTATTCTTCTGCATTCTGTCAATATCACAGCCCAACCTGAGACTGTCTTGTTCTCAAAATTCAAATAAGTTGTTGATGCCTGCATTGTTTAAATGTAAAAACAAAATGTAATTGGTGCTGTTAAAATGCACACGCCTACTTTTACAAGAACGGAAATCCTCTTTCTGCTTTCTAGTTTCAGCTGACACAGCAGAATTGAACGTAAGGCCAGTACGTGCCATAAACGGTCGTACAGACACAGAAACAGGAAATGTTTGTTATTTTATTATTATTGTTTTCACATTTGACCACAGAGAGGAAATTCTCTAAGCAAATGTACTACACGTACATGTACATCTTCCATTGTTCCTTTGCAATATGTAAAACACATTTTTGTATCCCCCCATGCCTTTGTTCATTTAATCAGAACCCAGATATGCTGTTTGGAAACTGTTTACAAAGTTTCGTAAGGTTTGCTGAGGTTATCTTTGCCTCAAGTCATCTTGGCATACCTCCACTGCAGATAAAAGACATCTGATCTTGCATATGTTACATATTGTGAAACTGATTGTGTCTGCTAATGTGTTTGTAATGATCTGTGTTACAGTGGTACAAAGCAGGAATGGGCTGACTCACACTTCTGCTCAGATCTGTGCTGTGAGAGGATCAACAGTCGACGAACGCTGCATCTATAGACAGCCATCCACAGTAAAAAGATGTTCTGGTTTACTGAAATGCAGGAGAAAGGACCCTCGGATCTGAGAACCGACCCAGAGTACGGAGGTCATTGAAATTTCACTGCGATTAGACAACTTGCACTTGAGAGATAGCGACTCAGCTGAGTACAAGTTCACATTCAAATACAAACAATTCAATAAAAAATAAATAATTACGTATTTGCATATTTATGAGCAGTTTAGCCTGAACAAATTATTTCTGTTCCTTCTTCACAGATCCAGGTCTCCAGGTGCAGGTGAGAAGATAAGCTATTCTGAGAGCTGTTTTGTCACAGTAGTTGTCATCTACCTGAACGTCCTTACTACATCTGGTACAAGAATGGACAGCAAATTGAGGTGGAAGCATCTTCTTCATATCCAGACTATTTTGATCCTGCAGACAGTTATTCCTGTGCTGAATTATAAGGATTTCCCTGCTCCTTTCACAAGCACAACACCATCTGGTGAAACATTTAACCTATACTGTAGTTACTGCTTGTATATTTACATTTACAGGTTTTTTAAAGAACTTTCTTCTCCATTGCTTACACACATTTTGTAAATAGTATGCCATCTGCATTAACACATTTCCCAAAATACACATCCGTAACACTAAACACTGCAACTGAAACTAAGAACAAACAACACTGTCTTATCTGTTGTCACGCCACCAAAATAGTTTTCTGTGGTCAGCCAATTTTCATTTCTCCTTTTTGAAACAGAACAGTTCATGCTCTAAACATTGCACTGAACACAAACTTGAAAAGGGAGTGGCCATCACTGCATATCAGCAGCAGCAGCAGCAGCAGCAGCAGCCCTCATGTTCCAATTAATAAACCAAGCGGAATGCACGAGCTGCTTTATTGATCACTAAATAGTCATATGTAATTTACATTTTGCTGCATTAACATAACAGGCAGCATTGTAGGGTTACTATGGTTTGCAGATAGTTTGACCAACTATAGTTATTGGGGATTCCACTTCTCTGTGATTGTACCTTTATGATTACATGCGACAAATAAAGTGATTGACTGATTGATATTATACTTTGTTCCCCAAGAAAACATGTAAATAATTGATAAACACTGTGTTAAGAAAAGTGATACATTGTGTTTAGTATAGCAAATCAGCATTATAGACACAAGTGTGTTGTAATTGTGTTGTACTTATTTAGGTACATGTCTACTGTTGCTTCCTGTTGGTAAATATGACACTATACACCATGTGTCTCAATACTTGGTATTTCTTTGTTGGTTTTAGTGTGTTGGAAACGTCTGATCTTCAATGACTTGAGTGTGAATTTGGTTTAATGTCACTGCATTTTTTGCACCAACAGTATTGAGTCTGTCAAATCCATCATATCAGGTTTAATGTCACAAACAATCATACCCAGTACAACACATAGTGAAGTTCATTCTCTGCATTTCAATTCAATTCAATTCAATTTTATTTATATAGCGCCAAATCACAACAACAGTTATCTCACAGCGCTTTTCATAAAAGAGCAGGTCTAGACCGTACTCTGTGATGTTATTTACAGAAGCCCAACAGTTCCCACCAAGAGCAGCACTAGGCAACAGAGGCAAGGAAAAACTTCCTTTTAAGAGGCAGAAACCTCGAGCAGAACCATGGCTCAGG